GAGGAGTGCGACGCTAACCCAAATATATAAACCAGAAGTTGTCTAGGAGTCTGTTTGTCTGTCCGGAAATCCAGAAATGGCATTACCTAAAGAGCCAGTCAGGGGCATGGTCAAGGGTGGGATGGGTAGGGCATGGGCCAGGATACCACACATGAACTGGGCTGAGCTCAGCCTACTATGGGCGGGGTTTGCCCTTGACCAGTAGCCCTTTATTTCAGAAATTCGTATTTCCGTTCTAGAAGAGCGGGGAAGGTAGAATAAGTGCGAGACGATAGGCAATCAGTTGGCGGATGAACGAGGAAGACGCACCCATAGTGGGCGGAGCTTACTACAAGTGGGCGGCATTTGCTACAACAATTTCAATGCTTCGTAATTTTTCCCAAAAAAAGCGGGAGAGTGGGGTAGCCCACGAAATGCTGAGTATGAGTGCAACTGAGCATCGGGTTGGCAGAAGAGAAAGTCAGGAAGAGTCGCTCGTAGAGAGCATGGCGTGTACCACAGGGTTGATGCCGCCTACGATATGTTCCTTCTGCAAATGCTCAACAAGAAGGAGGGTGATCTAAGGAAAATTTCGACGACTGTCTTCTAAGAGGAGGGGGAGGGGGGGGGGGGAATGCAAATTGCTTTTGCAAATGAGAGCCGTCGGATCGCCGGCCGATCCGACTGGCCCTCTATTTTTTAAAAACGTGTGGGGAAGACCCACTTCACACGCAGAAGGAGGATCGGCCGGCGAAGCCGGCCGTTCCGACTGGTAAGGATGAAAGGTTAAGTCTTGCAGTTGATCAATACCTTTGTAGGGATGCGGCACGCATTCTACTTCCATTCAGAATCGTAGTGGCTTATTGAATGCGATGTGGCCTATACAATGACTGGCCAGCCGATGTACAAGTCAGTGTTTATCCTCCCAGACGAATCTAGTACCAACATACCGTCCCCGGAGGGTAGGTTTAGCTGGCCTGAGCGGGAGCCGATCCAGGATCTCATTCCCGGACCTGCGCGTTTAAGGTTGCACTTACCAGCTACATTCACCTCCGTCTGAAGATGCAGCAAAAAATTTCTACCAGTGGAGAACAACTACAAATCGCATCACTTGTAAAGCGAGAGCATTATACTTATGCCATGACTTGGCTATAGGGGATCAATTTGCCTTGTATGGCAAAACACTAGTTGCATCAAACTTTTACTGCCAGCATCCGCGTAACACTCCAAATTTTCAATAAGCATTCCAGGCTTTTTCGATACCTGGGCCTCCACTCAAAGTTTCATGGGATGCTCGAAGTATTCCTTGCTGGAAGACACAATCAGTAATAAAGATTAGGCTGCAGGGTTATAAGCTTATAGGTTAGCTTGTAAGGTAATAAGCTTCGGGCGAAGCTTCAAAAGGCAGTTGGCACGATAAATCCTGTGAACTTTCTCTATGAATTTGGCGACCTTCATAAACATTTCAGTACTTTTAGGAAGCTCAAACCTTCCTCTACACGACTGCGGTCTCCTTTCCCACAGGTCCGCTTTTGAGGAAGTTATGGTCCCTTCAAAGACACCCTGTTTCCTGAAAACTCGCGCTCCAACCACCTCGCAACCACCTTGCACGGCTGGTCCTGCCCAGAATCCCTTTCAATCGATTCCTCATAATTTCCCAGCTGTCGGCATGATGAAGCTCCATTTCTTTTCTTTTTGTTGTGTTATGCGCTTTCTGTTTTCGTTATGTTATGCTACATCATTTAGGCCGCGTTCATAGCTTGCGACGGTGAAGAAATGCAGAAATGCGGAAAATGCAGAAATGGCGAATTGCTGAAAAATTGGAAATTGTAATGCTTTTCGTCATTTCTGCATTTTCCGCACTTCTGCATTTTCCGCATTTCTGCATTTCTTCAAATTGATGTGTATATTACGCCTTCCATCATTTCCTCGGATTCCGCATTGCTTCATGGTAGCTATCCATGGGTGACTCCATACTAGAAGTTTCGCAGCTGTTTGGAGGTGACATGAATTCCAAAGGTCTTCTCCAGTCAGGCTGCGACTGGAGATGACTTCATATTTTGGTGTACATGAAGGTGATGGGCGAGAGCCAGCTCCTGCTTATCGAGGAACATCTTGGGTATCTTCCGCCCTGGTACTCGTATCCACGTCCTCTGTCTGGGCAGCGAAAACTTTGCTGATATGTGACTCGGTCGAAGTGACTTTTTTTGGCCCCCCCCTGTATATTTTATGTCTATGACTTTCAAGTGTGGTATGTTTTTCGTTGAACTGGAATATCAGTCTCAACTCTTTCGGCAACAGTTTGGTTTGACTGATGGAGCAACAAATTGAGTACAACACAGTCTCTCGTTTAATCCTACCGTTTTACTCCTAGAGGGAGTAATCAAGGGAAGCCCGCCGATGAGGAGCGTCAATAGGGCGTTTGGCCACGCCCACAAAACAATCGTGGAATATCTTCAAGGATGTGGGCGCAGAAAAGCATTCTCACACTCACGACTTCGAGTGGGCAGCAAGTGCATACTACATACTGGAAGAATTCAATAATGATAAGCAGCTTCCCATTCACTACGGATGTGATCTCAACTATACCCACTGCTGATACCACAGGGAATTTTTCCCAGCCTCAGAGTTAAGAATTCTGTGGTGGTAGGAAGAAGTCCTGTGGGGGCATCCCAACATGAATATTTTCAATATTTGAGAGCTCGTCCTTTCATCGCACTGTGTAAGTTTCTTCAAGCGCCGTCAACTGATTCTCATGTCTACTTCTGTACCTTTCCTTTTTGAAAGAATGATTCAGTGCTTATGAACTTTCACACATATATTGCGATAATGATGGCAGTATGTACATACAGGTATGGCTCACAGTTTCGTCATATTATTAATATTACATATTACACATAAAACATGGGTCTCAAAGACTAGACGTTGGCTACATTTGGACACCGGGTGTTTGCTGCGCTAAGGATACGGATGTGTACATTTTGGGAAGGGAAAGAAAGAAACGAGAAAGATGCTGATTGCTAGGAAGGAAGAGATGCGGATGGAACACTGAGGAATGACCTTCGAAAGGCTAACGAGTAGAAAATTAGGCAGTTAGGATCTGCAGTGACAAAAGGGTCAACACATGGGGCTACATAAGGGTCTAGTCCGTCACGCGACTCCAGACAGGGTTGTGCTGCCTGTTGATCGACGTCGCAAGCGCATCATTGACTGAACTTCTTGCTTCACTTCTAGTGACTCTTTCAGATTTTCTTTTTCCTCGACCAGATGCCAAGCTGCTGTTCTGAAAGGGCACTAATATTGGTAGATCCTTCGTGCCTCTTAGAGTTCCAAAAACCTGCAAAAATGCACCTGTACACTTTGGTGTGAACCAATGGTCCGACTTTTCCATAGTGGAATGTGTCCTCAAATATCTCCCTATACCAGTACTCCTCGGGAGTCTCGGGTGTCCTGTCCGGGAAGCGATCAGCTCGTTCCGAGAACTTTTTCTCGGAGATTAACGAACTGGCATACTGATGGACGATGTCGCCAAGGTCGGTTTTACCTGCAACTTCTTGATATAGTAAAAGACTAGAGAATTGCAGTAGCAAAAACAAAGGTGAACGATAGTCTTCCACAAAAATTCCCTTATAGGTGAAATGAAAGTGAATAGCGATGGGGTGGTTGAAGGACAGTACATTCGGCAAAACATGGAAATGTAATTATGTTTGAGCAATCATGCTCACAGCCTGCCTTCTTGAATGGTAGATGAATTTTGGTTATGAAGACATATTTCACAAAAAAAAGAAGTGACAGAAGACGTTCGAAATAGGGCCCTGGTTCGACTAGCGGAAGTGTGTTCGTCTGAATGATCGTGGATTCTCCTTTTATAAGAAAGACTGTCTCTTCCATGCCCACTTCCACCTTCCATTCCGTCGAGACGTTTGAGCTGTGGAAGACAACGGCCTTTCCAAAGCTCCAAACTAGTTCTCTAGTGAGAGGTCTGGAAACAAGGCAGGAAAGAACACTTCGCGCTGATTACACGAATCAAAGCATTGCCATGGAAAAGCTACTGTGGATTGCAACGGACAATATTGCACCAGGTTTGCTTCAGAATATCTAATTCAAGAATCTATATGGCGCAAGGGCTGGGTTGGCCAATCGCTATCTAACAATAAGACGGAGGTGAACTATCCGACAATTGGCAATCTTATTTCGTTATTCATTCATTTGAATGCTAACGCGTGAATCTAAACCTGTCTGCCCGAATAATGCGAGCACACTATTTGAGAAGCCACGAAATCGACCTAGATGGCATCTTATATTTCCTGGCCAGCTGGGCTGGAACAGCAACACGCACAGTATAAAGATAGTTACGAATTGGAGGAGAGGAGGCGGGGGGGGACCGGAGCAACTGGATAACGTCGAGTGCAGATTGAGGCATTTGTGAGCGAATGATAAGGTAACCGTCTCCTGACCCTACGATATTCATTCTACATATGCCGCACCAAACCCTGGACATTTAGAAACGGCATATGACTATCGCAACCCATTTAGCTGTAAACATACAGAAAGAGGTCTATTCGCGTACCGCATTACAAACTTTAGAACAAGGAGAGAACCTATACTGAGAGTTTTAGAGACCAATGTGACTTTCTAATTTTTCCATTTCACCAAGCGCACTTCAAGCAAAGCACATACTGTTCAGTCCTGAACCCGGAGCCACTGCGATGGTTTTCAAGGAGCATTGCGCGACAGATGAAGCGGAGTTATAAGCTCTGGGAGCAATCGTTAGAATCGAAAGGGTAAGGACCGTAGAACAATCGAACGGAATAACAATTGTGGGTGATTAAAGTAAGAGGCGGGCCCAAAATTAATATGACCAAGGAGAAAGAGTTTCACCTGAGAGGAACTGGATTTCATAAAATATTAGTTGAAGACTAGCATTTCTAAGAGACATTGGCCAGAAACACGTTGGGGCGTTTCGAGAAGTCAGAATTTGCCCGCCCACTTTCCACAATTCGTGGAGAATAGGCAGGACCTTCGGCGTGCCCAAAACCCTGCCCTCCCCCTAAAACGCCTCAACGCCCACAGCGAACAGGACTACCTCCATAACAGCACTTTTGTTCACCTTCACAAAAGAGCCATGATAGTGTACCAGTAGCTCAGCGAAATCGACAGCTATTAAAAAGAAGGACGTTTTCCCTTTGGAACAGCGATCAGAAACTTCAAGACAAGCAAGATACTATCAAAGTATTGCGCAATAAGTCCACCTCAGACCGTTTTTGAAACCTTTTGGCTGGCTCAGCACTCACGTAGACACATAGCGATATGTAACGAAAAACAGGACTTAGCAAATCAAACATGAATAAGAGACTAACCAAGGGCTTCTGCAAAACCTTCTTTACTCCTCCAAAGCACCTCATCTGGCAGCCATCCTTCGAAAGCACTTCGTAGAATGAACTTCTCCAGCTTCATCGGGATCAGTTTATAGGTTGGAGGAAGTCGCGCGACGAGATCGATGAACCTAAATTCACCACAGCTGACTCAGTAGTACCTTCTCCAAGGTGTTACTAGATGTACCTCTTGTCCAGGAATGGCACACGAATTTCCAAGCCGTGACACGATGTTGATCTGTCGCACCTCAGTACATCGTATTGATGAAGGTGTGTTAATCGACGAAGGATTTCTTTATGCAGATGGAATGCATTCGGTGCTCGTTGCATATATGCATAGGATCCGAAAAGCTCATCTGCACCTTCCCCTAGAATTTTCAACAATGAGATTTGCGATAGATTTGACACAGTTCCACAATTCCACTTGCTCACACTATCGAAAGTCAGTGGTGCGTATAAGTTTGACATACAGTGCGAAATAAGGATTAGCTTGTTGGCATTTTGGGCACATTTTGCGTAGGCCGAACCCCTCCTCGCACGAGTAGGCCCGCAACCGCACATTGTGGCTCCACGTCGCCACTTGAAAGTGCCCACTAAAAGCGCCATGGACATGTGGACTAACTTTGGCCTCAACTTCTACAATTCTGCTCTCTCTAGTCTTACATGTGTTCCATTGGCGAACGCTTGATACGCGCGCGGTCGGTGGTGGAGGGGGGGGATGAGGGATCAAATCTCAGATTTGCTCCCGCTCATGAACAGCAAGCATTCTGTCCTCTGGGGATGGTAAACTGGTACCACTTCGTATGAGAGGATGAGGACACTGGCTTGTACATTGGTAAGTTCCCGATGTCATTGTATAGGCTTCGTCGCATTCGACGAGGCCAACGATTCTGAATGGAAGTAGAGTGCGTGCCGCTTTCCAGAAGTGATTGACCAACGGGGAACAATTTATCCTTTATTTTCTATGAATGGGATTGATATTGAGAAGATATACTTCTTTGATTGGGCGCCTGCATAGTCTCGCGCCTCCGGTTGACTAATCTCTCTTTTGCGCCACTGACAATGAGCATTTCTGGGTCAAAAT